TTCACACTATCATAGCTCTTGCGTATTCTCGGGGTTGGAACATTTGTCAACTTGATGTATCGAATGCTTTCCTCCATGGATATCTCAATGAGGAAGTATATATGGTGCAACCCCAAGGATTTGTAGATACAAAAAGGCCACGACAAAATGTTTGTCGTCTCCGGCGTTCTCTTTATGGACTCATGCAGGCCCCTCGAGCCTGGTACAAACGGCTTAGCTCCTATTTAATTGCTCTTGGATTTCGGATGTCGAGTGCGGACTCTTCATTATTTGTTCTACATACACGTCATTATAGTATGATACTCCTTGTGTATGTTGACGACATCATCCTCACTGGTTCTCCTGAAGCTCCATTTACAAACCTCCTTAGTGCTCTCCAAGCCGAATTTGCCATCAAAGATTTGGGTCCCCTTCATTACTTCTTTGGTGTTGAAGTACAGTCCACTTCTGATGGTCTCATCCTTCATCAGGCCAAGTTTACACATGACATTCTAGCTCGCTCCAAAATGACCGATGCTCGGGCTATTTCCACATCATGCACCATCGATGAGCCCCTCTCTCTCCACCATGGAGAGCCTCTCCCGGACCCTCTACTTTATCAAAGTATTGTTGGTGCTCTACAATATTTAACACTTACATGACCAGATATTGCCTACTACATCAATACTGCGTGTCAATTCCTCTATGCCCCTACCACAACCCATTGGCAATTGGTGAAGCGCATCCTGCGCTATCTTGCAGACACTCCTTGACTTGGTATTTTGTTTACCCATGGTTCATCTACAACTCTCCACTAGAATCGGTTCAGCGAGAAACTTCTATGCTTTTTCAGATGCAAGCTGGGCTGGTAATTGTGACGATCGGCGTTCTGTTGGAGGTTATTGCATTTTCCTTGGTCGCAATCTTATTTCTTGGAGCTCTTGCAAACAACGAACTGTGGCACGTTTCAGTACAGAAGCTGAATACAAGTGTTTGGCTGATACAACTGCAGAACTTATATGGATTGAATATCTCCTGAAAGATCTAAATGCTCTTCCACCACATCCACCTACTCTTTGGTGTGATAATTTATCAGCACTGTACTTGACTGCAAACCCCATTTTTCATGCTCGCACAAAGCACGTGGAGATTGATTATCATTTTATTCGTCAACGACTTGCTCGGGGGCAGCTCTATCTTCACTTCATTTCATTCGTAGATCAGCCTGCTGACATTTTCACCAAAGGACTCTCTTTTGCACGTTTTCGACTTCTATGATCCAAGCTAACAATTCGTCCCGTCCCATCAGCTTGCGGGGGGATGTTGAACAAGTCAAAGTCATCTCCACCAGAATTAGTTCAGGGAGAAACTTCTGGCTCCTCTCCATATCCATAACTCTTTATCTATAACTCATTCAATTTTATTCAAACTTCAACTGAATTTTGTTATACAGATTCTCTACAAGTGTATATCAACCCATCATCTCTTTGTAAATCATTAACGGAGAAATCAATACAAAGCATTAATTTAAAATCTCTGTTTCGGTTCTCTGTTTTATTTGTCTCTCTTTTACTCGTCGTAGTTTTAAGTTCTCCTTTATTCCTCTGTACTTCGGTTCTTCCTTTCTCTAAAGGTCCTAATCCGTTTTTACTGAATCACTAAGCAGATTTTGGGAATAGAGATCCTAAAAATATATGATCGCACAAAACCGGCAACCTTCTTTCGATAAGGACGGTAATGGTGTGGTATGGTATGAGGTGGGTTGGGAGCAAGAGTGACATCCCAACCCCTTGCTATCGATGATAGTTAAGGAGACCTTACATCAAATCTGTGCTCCACGCAAGGCATGTTTATAAGGCTTATCCCCACCTCAACGGGGGCATTTCGTATTCTATTATATTGCCTAACATTTATGTTAAACTTAATTATAATTCAAAAAATTAATTAAATTAATTATGGTATAATTATTCTAATCCTTGAAAATTTATCAAAAAATTGATTGTTTGAGTACAATCCAAACAATAAAATGATAAAAAAAATACCCTTTATATAAATATAGTATCTATATATGTTATGGGGATTAATGATAAAGATGAGGATAGAGATGAGGATTATTTAAAATGTTGTATCTTAAAAATTGAAGATAATCTATAAAATCAAGAATATGTTCTATGCAAGAAGTAAATATTCAATGGTTAGAAATAATATGAAACTAAATAAAAGAATGAGCATTAAGAAAAATGGGTAAAATGGTAAGACCTGCCGATTGTGGGGTATGTCAATTAAATTACTATAATATAAATTGTAGTTAAGAAAAGGTTAAGGAAGGATTAAGCAAAGATTAAGATAATTACTAATATTTAAATAATATCGAAAGATTATAAGTGGAGATATCAAAAGTATAGGTGCAAATTATAGAAAATAAAAGACTTTGTATCCTCAAATCATGAACAAGATTCGGAACATAAAGGTGTTTCAGGGATGATAATGGATATGAAACTTACTGGATTTTGGATTCCAGGAAACGGAGTGAAGATATTCAAGAGGTAGGATTATGGTATGGGATGTGGAAAGTTTTGAGAGTATTCTCTTATTTTTCTCGATGGGATGAGAGAGGGAGACTCTGGAGATATATGAAAATTTGATCTGAAGAATGATTGGTGCCCTTTCGGATGGAAGAGGTTCATTTTTAAAGGCGTCTAGGTTATTGTAGAAAAGATTCACGGGGTATTACTATAGTAAACAGTAAAAGGTGAATAGTGAAAAGTGTATAGTGATACAGTGTATACTTTTATAAAAGCTGACAGACATAATTATGAAAGTTGATAGACACAAGCATCTTTTGGCTTCCCAATAAACCCGCTCGAAGAGACAAAGCCAAAGAAATTGTTGAATCCTCAGAACAAAAACCCACGAGCCTAGCCTAAATTAGGACCTGGCTTCAAATAGTTCAACATGTTGAACCACCTTTGAATATTACCACCATTTCCAACCAGGTTGACAAAATGGAACCCGCCTCTCCATCTACAAACACTTCTTTTGATATTACTAAACTATCTCACAAAGAAGCACTAAGACTTCTTGAAGTAGCTTTCAATAGCCAGCCACCAAAAAAATCAGTGGTAAGTGTAGATCCCTCTCCTATAGCCGCTCAAAAGGCAATAGGGAAAATAATTTCTAGTGAGGTGGTTATTCAGCCAATCAAGGTAGCCCCTCAAAAACAAAAATCTGTTTTCATTCCAAAAAATGTATTTCAAAATATAAGTATAGTCAAAAACGGATTTTTCCATGAAAACCCATACATATTTGCAAAAAAATATGTTTTCTAAAAAATTTAATTATGTTCCTCATGATTTTTATAAAACAAATGAGTTTTATGAGAGAATCTTGATAGAAACAAAGTCTGCCACCATCAAACATTTCTTTGATAAAACCCACATCAATTATTCTACGGCAAGGATCTATAAAATCATTCATCCTTCCCAATGGAAACCTCATCCTACAACTATGGTGAAATTTGCTGTCAAAATCACCAAACCACTTCCATACAGATCTTCATATTCTTATTTTGATTATCAACAAGCTTGGTAGAACACTTTCTTCAGGAAAAATGCCAATAACACTCATATCTGGCTATTTTTCTTCGAAAATTTTGATATTCGCCAAGTGCCTTTCTGGTTTATTGGATGGTGGGAACATTTTGATCCCATTGTTGAAATCTTACACCCATGGGTGCAACCCAGTTACAAGATGTTCTCTAGCCAGTTCGCACCACTTTCATATGAAATTAGATTCCCTCAACTGATGCTCTTTTTTCTATACTTCGGAGTATCATGGGTCATGGCATGGGATTTTGATTATAGAAAATCTGTCAATCCAAACACCATTGTCCTCATCAGAAAATTTATAACATATGGTATAAAACCCTAATGTTGATATTTAAAGCGGCTAGAATGAAAGGTGGGGTGGGGCGGGGCAACGTCGGCACTTGCTAGGGAACGTTATATTGCCATCCCTCCCTTTTGTGTGACTCGCTAGAGATCGTGACCTCTATGGACGGCAAATCTAAGAGAGAGATAGTTGATTTTACTATTCTGCTAGCTACGAAGCCCAAGCTATGCAAGATATGAAAGCTGATATTTGATAGTACTGAGAAACTTTTACCCTATGTCTGGATATGAAGATTTGATTGGGAATGAAATATTATGGAAAGAAAAGGGGAGTGACAGTTTCTATCTCAGGAATCTTTTCCCTTCGAATATGAAAGTGTTGCAAGAAATTCCTGAATCTTTTGTCGCTTCCCAAGAATGCTTCAACGAACAACGTTACCAAATACGAAACAAAACTCCTATGAGCTTATCACCACCAATGGCATTTCATTCAGTCTCGCACGCACTGTATTCTTACACATGGATCGTAAGATTCTTAAAAGCTCCGGTGTTCTTCCTTAGGGCTGTGTCACGGAACCAAACTACTTATAAAAGTTTCAATGTTATCTTGCAATTGGTCAGGGTGGAAATTCTCGAAACCGGGATATCTTATTTCGTTGAGTAGAGTTTGTCATTCATGCATTCTTGCAGCTCTTGCTTTTCTATGAAGCAGCACTTCTCACTATAGTGACAAAATAATGTTAAAAAAAACAAGTGCGATGCAATGCCAAAAAGTAGGAAATTGCCTACGTGCTTTATTTGGGAAAGAAAGTGAAACTGCATTTCCAAAAAGTAATTCCCAATAGAATTGTTCAAATAGACATTCAGCGCAGCAATCTTTCCATGATTATTCATTCGTTAGATAAATTGGGTATTCGTCAGAGCTTTGCAAACTATTGCTAGAACACAAGTGAGTACAATCATGTATAATTCCCCGTACTTAATTTAAATAGAATCATCCTCTTGTAGAACTTCCAAATCGGTAATTACTCAGCAGTAAGAAAAACAGAACCTCTTAATCAAAAGATCAAGATAAAGCATACGACCATTGGACTTGTTTCTTGTATATAGCCACACACTAGAAACCACGATTCAGACACTGGAACTAGTAGTGGCGGCTTGGATGTCTAATGTTGAACAGTAGGTCGAGTCCAGTTTGTTTATTTCACTGATTGAAATCCACAGAGAATCAGATCTCGTCTCATTAAGTAAACTTTGAGTCTCTTCATCATTGCATTGATCGGCCCACGAGTTTTTGTTGATCCTAGCAAGTTGCTCAGCCACTTCCCTCATTGTTGGCCTATTTACACCATTATAGTTTAAGCACCTTCTAGCGAGCAAACCAACCGCCTCGATCTCCCGCATTTCACCTTCAATGGACACCTCGATATTTATTATATGGACGAGTGTCCGGTTCTCCACAGCAGAGATGAAAGATTGGACAATGTTGATAGTTTCCCCAGATTTTGCCCGCCTAATCGGAGTCTCTCCGGTGAGGAGCTCCACAAGGATGACTCCGAAACTATAAACGTCACTCTTAGTGGTTAATTCACTAGTGCTGAGATACTCAGGGTCGAGGTAACCTATGGTGCCTTGTACTCTTTCGGCTATGTGAGAATGTCCCGGCGAAATCAAAACCGAGGCTCCGAAATCAGATACTTTTGCGGAGTAGTTCTCATCCAAAAGTATATTCAGGGTCTTGACATCGCCGTGAATGATTGGCGGGTCAGCCAGGGAATGCAAGTACTCAAGGGCCAAGGCGGCTTCCGAGGCAATCCTAAGGCAATTTTTCCACGATCGTAAGAGCGTTGATCTCTTGTCATGAATATGGTGATATAGAGTCCCATTTGGGATGAATTCATAGACCAACAATGGCACTTTTGTCTCCAAACATATACCGAGGAGCTTGACCAAGTTCTTGTGATTCACCTGTGAAATAATGCTGATTTCGTGCCGGAATTCATTGTGAGTGCTCAGAGACCCGTCATTGTTCATGTCTTTCGGCTTCTTGACAAGGACATCTCTAGGCTTCTTGACCGCAACTAAAATGTCGCCGTCGATTCTTCCTTTGTAAACTGAAGCAAAACCACCCTCACCGAGCTTGTTGCTAGCATCGTAGTTGTTAGTGGCTGTAGTCAACTGTGCCTCAGTGAAGATTTTCACTCTTTGGTGCTTCAGGATCTCTCCTCCATTTTGCCTAAAGTATCTCTCTTTAGCTATCCACTTGCATATGAACAAGACTAGACCACTCACAATTATGCAGCCTAACACTGTCGCTACAATGGCTGCCACACAAAATTGAGGAATGGATGTATTAGTTTTCTCCCAAACAATTGATTTACTTTGACAAATAATGAACTTGGACCATAAATTTTGATATTAAATGTAGCCACTTAGATAATTGACAAGTCAGTCACCAAATGGAGGATCCGGACTAAGCTACACAACAAAAATGCCCCAACTTTTCCGACATGCATTCATATCTTCCGAAAAATTACATGCGCATGCACACTTGGCCACATTAATCATACTCCTAATCGCAACTTTTCCTCTCGCTCTTTGCCCTCCATTGGAGAGCCGTAGCCCACCACCACCACCTTAGCCGTTGGCCATCAAACAATCGTCGAAGCAACGATGCAGCCAAGATGAGGACCACCGTGTAAGAGTTTTTCTAATGTGGGCTACATTAATTGAGATTGTAATTAACCGTTCTATAGGCTTGGTCTAATAAGGTAAGATATAAAGATTCTTAATTAATCAAATATGGGACCGGTTAGTGTGGGTCTGGTATGGCCCGGCCCGTGATGAGAGGGCCTAGCTTAAAACTCTATAAATAATGCTCAAGTCCCTCCTCAAACCCTGACCAAACACTAATTGTGAGAGGCAGTCTCATTGAGCCAATGATACATAGGATAATAGAGGAGAAAAACTTGCGCTGAGGATTGTCGCTATTCCGCATCAAGAACGATGTATTTCAAATCAGGTGCGCAAATCTCTTTTACTCGATTAACGTATTCTAGATTCTAGCTATGGAGATCTTAGGTGTCGTTTTTCGTCGCCAACACACCGTGGTCATTTCAGCCCCACAAAAACCCCCCTCTCTCTCTCTCTCTCTAAAGTGGTCACTTATCGGGGTCGATCTCATAATTCCACAACTTTCAACCCTCAGATCAGAGGTTGAAGGCCACAATCCAGGGCGGCAGTAGATGCGGTTAGGCGGGGAGAGAGAGACAGGCTGCGATGGGAGGTGGAGATGCTAGCGATGGCTGAAGGTGGCTAGCTGCCGGTGGCTGGTAGAGGCATGCACGGTGGGTGTTGGTGACCAGTGAACGGTCAATTGCAAAGTCGGATACAATATCAGAACATCTTAACGTAAGCCAGATCAATAGCAAGTGGACTCGTAGTCTAAAGCAAGAATAGCTTTAGATTATTGAGCGATTCGCAAGGGAAGTAGAATTACCTGCAGCAATTACGACAAGACGAGAAGTTTGGCAACCAATTTTGCCATCACCAGTCATGCCAAATGGGCAGTTGCATGTGTAGTTCCCAGGCTTATTCTTGCAATTCCCGTGACATGGATATCGTTGTGGATCCTTGCACTCATCGATATCTATATCAAACAGAATCAACGGCGTTAAAGTGTATGTTTTTTTTCCTATAAATTTACGTATTGGTTGTATTGAAGCATCTTAACTCAGCTCAACAAATAATTTTTGGCTCACAAAGAGAACAGAAGAATACCTTGACATCCTGGGAGTGGGGACAGTGGGGAGACATAGGGATTCCCCGTGTACCCATCCTCACAGAAGCAACGATAACCATTCCCGTTTTCAAAGTCAGAGCAATAACTGTTGGCGCCGCAGGCATAGCTCGATTGGTTGGATTGTGCTTTCTTGCAGGTCAAATTTCGTTCAACTACCCAATCCACGACAACCTTTGAGTATTTTTTAACGAGCATATCATCCGGGACAGGAAGCTTGTAATCGGAGACATCAAACGACTCCTGGTCCCCTACGAACGCTGATCCGCAAGAGCTGGAGCCCTGAACTAAGGTGTAATTCATTGTGGCGGCCATGGATATGTTGAGGCTCCTGAGGCTCTTGGGGATCGACGTTTGACAGCACCCGAGGGCGGAGCAAGATTTCGAGGCTGTGAAGTCGAAGGCCTCGTGGCAAAAGGACAAGCATCCACTCCCGAAAGTTGTGCTGGCATCTGAGATAACAGCCGTCGTGTCGCAACCGATGACCATGATCTTGTTCCGGGTGTCTGAGAATGTATAGTGCCCGTCTTCACGCAAGTTGATCCATGGGTTAGGGCTAGAGCCAGCAAGCCGACCACCACTCTTGTCATAGCAGTCTAAAGCTCTGTACAGGCCAACGGTCATTGTCGCATTCTTCATGGATATGTCGAACACCGGAATGTTCTTGAAGAGAAACAGGTTCCCCGATGTGTGGTTGCAGGTGAGGACAAGGCCAGAGTTCCATGCGCAACTTTCGTTGAGCCCGAATGGGAAAGGCACGTTCATGCTGCCGCACCTCCGGTTGCAGTTGTCCTTCTCGGTGAAAGTGGCCAAGGCCAAGGCCATCGGAAGAAAACACAACACAGCCGCTTTCATTTTTATGTTTCTCCAATCTGTGCTTCCTCTGGGCTCTCCTCTCACCGGTTTTTATAATCCTACTTTCGTTGATGCCGATGCCTCAGCGGCAGCCAAGTCAGTCAACACGTTGGAAGACCGAGTCATCAATTACGACCGTTGGAGAGACTGAGCCGGGTTTTCCTGAAAACTTACCTGAATGTGAATATAGACATTGCTTTCATTTCACTTAAAATTCAAACATTCTAGAGCCGTGCTTGTTTCACAAGATAGAGAAAATTTTCAATTCTCAAAGTATTAATTGCATTCCACACAAGAAAAATCAGTTCTTCGAATCTACAAGTTTCACAATTGGTTTGGTCAATGAATACTCTTGAGGAACTTCTCAACAGAATCCTTTTCTGAATATTCTCTTGCTTTTCTTCAAAGTATGAGAACGCCCTAGTCATTGGGTCCATTTCAAGGTAGGTTCTCGGAGTTGCACTATCCATACAAAATACATAAGCAAAATAAGACCCGTTAGTGTTTCAACAAAAAGTGAGAACACGGGCTCCGTATCAACACGGGGGACAACTTCACAAGTGAGAACACGGGCTCCTTTTCTGAATATTCTCTTGCTTCAACTTCTAGCTGAAAATGAAAACTGACAGATGAGTTTCATTCTCAATAGAAATCCAAAAGTATTGTGCCTCCATAACGAGGGATCTCATTTGACTTACTATTATCATAACGTTCCAATAAACTAATCGGTCACTTAAAATATGAATGAGTGATCCAAACGTAGATTTTTACACTTTATTAAGTTAAATCTAGCGGGGCAATTTCCGAGTTTTGACATGAAAATTGTAATGGGTGCGGTCTATTATCTATCCTGCCTGTAAGTGAAGAGATTCAAGGAGCGACTTCTCACATAGTTGCCACTATCCTCCACTGTAACTTCTCTAACTTCTAATTTTTTTCTTAACTTATCCCTTTTGTTCTGTAAACTAATTTCTATACATTTTTACGAATATATCATTTACCAATGTAATTTGAGAGAACAACTACAAATGCGTGCACATCAGCGTTCTTGCACAGAGTTTTGATACCTCTTCCCCTCCATCATCTTTATTATATTTCGTCGATCCGCCCATGACGTGTGTATCCAAGGGATACCATTTGCTCTAATAAGAAGTATGTCTGAGAGACACCTTTTGAAGAGGTGCGAGGGGAGTTTCTTAAGGGAAGTTAAGGAAACTTCCTCAATAATCAATATCGAATAAGAGATCAGTAAATTCTGAAGAACAGAACTCTCTAACTCTCTCTCTCTCCTCTCTTCATCAAAGAACGACGTATAAGGATTCCGTATCTACTTTGAGAAGACAATTGGCATTAACGTTGTGGAACGAGAATACTTTCCTTGTGATTGTATTCGGACCAACGTGAAGTAGATTCGTTCATCGTTCACTGGTGATTCAACGTATGATCCTAGAAAATTGGTTCAGAGTGCATCAAACAAGTTAGTCGATTCTCCCGACACATCTATTCCAACATTGGTATCAGAGCCAGATTTATGATCTCTGCCTTGTTTTTTTTCCGTCGAATTTTTTCGCTTGTTGTTTGATATGGGGATCAAGAGGATTTATATCGTCTGGATGTTCATTGCTCGGGAATTGCAACATGAATAGTCGAAAATGAAATCGGACGCGATGAACGGGTCCGATGGATGAATGCTGTTCTGTTTAACCCTGTATCGAATATTTATTTTCAGTAAAAATGAGATATTTTTTATACATAGTTGAAGAACTCATTGAGACGAGCAGAACGGCGGGTCGAATGCCGCCGAAAATTGCCGGACGTGCCGCCACGCGCGGCCAGAAGCCGCGACGTCGTCGGTGATGCGCCCCACGCGCGACCACGCGCTGGGAATGCCAGCGCGTGAAAGCCACGTGCACATCGCCAACCGGCGTGTGTTGACGTCATCGATGACGTCAGCAAATTGTCGGTAACCGACATGCTGACGTCATCTCGCAGGCGAACGACCTCCGGTGACCGGCCGGCAGGCTACCCAACCCGTCCGGGATGACCCGACCCAGTACCGACCCGACCCGTTGACCGGTCAACCGGTCAGACCGGCTCAGAAGCCTGAATTGGGCAGGTGCGTGTGCCACACGCGCCGCGCACTTAGACAGCGCGTGTGAGCGCGTGGGGGATCCGTTTGGAGCGTGTTTGGTCTCGTTGTGTTCGTATCGACGTCCTCTATACTGTAAAATAATTATTTTATATTTTTAAAGCTTGTAATGGTATAAAAATGTGTACAGAACCCTAAATAGGTGTATTTTGGGGGTATATTTGCATTGTTTATTCCTTCTAACCTGTATTTCACTATGGTTTTGGAAATACAGTAGCTAGCCTACGTGAAAATGACCACATATATGTTGTGTAGTGCTTGGTTCGATGATAGCAAGTATATATTTTGACGTGCTTGCAATTTTCTAATTCTGAGCATACTAAAACAATGGCCGGAGATCTTTTATGTCTTGAATTCCGCATATGATTGTATTTGATGTAATGAATTATTTGTAAGTTGGTGATCATTACGTGAGGTCACGTGATCATCATTTCTAGTGGGAGTTCGTAGGTTGGTAGAATTCAAAGGAGTTCTCACCTAGAACTTAAAAAAAAAATTGTGCAAATTAAACAAGTTAATGATAGTAGAACAATTGTATGTCGAAGCTGATTGGGAACATAGTGAACTTTCGTTTCGATATCTTTTGTTAAATTATCATTAATTTAGTTTGTCTTTGCTGCAAATTAAAATGTGTGTTTTTGTGGAATATGTGCTAGTATTGATTCTATATTTATTATGTCAATGTGTAGAAGAAATTGATTATGGCTTCCGCATCCAAGACCATTGTGGCTGACCTCAACAAGGGTGAAAAGCTGAACGATGACAATTATGATATTTGGCATCGAAAAAATCAGTATATCCTTGAGGAGCAAGAGGTTTTGAAAATCCTCAACCACACCATGGATGAACCTAAGCATGGAACTTCTGCTCAACACAGAAGAGATCAAGAAACTTTTCAAACTTGGAAAAAGTAAAATAGCATTGCTCGCATCACGTTGCTGAGTTGTATGCAAGATGATCTCATGTGTGAGTTTGAAAGTTATGACAAAGCTCAAGCAACGTGGGTTGCCTAGAAAGATAAGTTTAGGGGTACGTCTGCCACTAAGTTGAGGAGGCTCACCATCAAATTTGACACATACCGGAAGCGCTCAAATCTAACAATGAGGCAGCATCTTTGGGAGATGTCAAACATGATACGTGAGCTGAAGTCAGCAGGTCATACCCTAACTGATGAACAGCAAGTTTAGGCTGTTATAAGGTCTCTTCCTGATAGCTGAAAACATATGAAAATTAATATGACGCACAATGAGAATATTGTCACTTTTGACGATATTGCGCGTCATTTGGAATTAGAAGATGAGCGCCTAGAGACTGCAAAATCCTCTACCCATGTTTATGTTGCTGAATCAGGTTCGGGCAAAACTTCGGGCTTTAAGCGCAAGAGGAACCATAAATTCAACAACAAAGGAAAAGAGACTGATCAGGCACCCAAAAGAGCCAAGACCTTCCGACGTAAGAAGCGTGGCGGGAAGAAGGACAAGGCCAAGATGATGTGCTACAATTGTGGTAAACTGGGCCACTTCGCTCGTGAATGCACTGAGCCGAAAAAGGTACCACATTACTCCATTACTTTGAGTAATGCTTTTGTTTCTAGCACTGTAATGCTTGTTGAATCTCATCCAATGTGGACTGTAGACTCGGGAGCAACAGACCACGTAGCTAGAGATCGAGGAGCATTTGTGGAGTATCGACGGATATAGCCTTGAAGAAGATGGATATATGTTGAAAATAACTCAAGAGTTGAAGTGAAGGGTATCGGCACATGTAAATTAACCTTTTATGGTGGTCGAAACCTATTCCTACATGATGTCCTCTATACTCCAGATATTCGGCAAAACTTGGTCTTTGTAGTTGTTCTTCTTGGCTTAGGTTATGTATTTAATTTTCGTGGTGATTGTGTTGACATTATGTTTGGAACAGTTTATTACGGTTTTGGTTATGTATTGAATGGTTTTATGGTATTAGACATTGACTATGATGTGTACAAAGTTAATATTGATGGTTGTTTTTCTTTAATTGCATCTTCTAGTAATGTGGAAATTGATGCAAGTACTTGGCATGCTAGACTGGGTCACATTGGGTTACAAAGAATGAAACGATTAGCAAGAGAAGGCCTTTTGGGGTCACTCGCTAATGTTAAACTACCCGTATGTGAGCATTATCTAGCGGGAAAACTAACTAGAAAACCATTTGGTAAAGGAACCAGAGCTAAACTTCCATTGCAACTTATATATTCTGACATTTGGGGTCCTTTAAATGTGAGGGCGGGGCATGGAGCCTCATATTTCATCACTTTTATAGATGACTTCACGTGTTTCGGTTATGTTTTTCTGATCTCCCACAAGTCTGAAGCATTGGATTGCTTTAGGCGATTTATAGCTTTGGTAGAGAATCAGTTAAACAAAACAATAAAGGCATTGAGAACTGATCGCGGACGTGAGTATCTATCTGAGTAATTCAAGGCTCTTTGTGATGAAAAGGGAATTGTAAGACAATTGACTATTCTTGGTACTCCGCAACAAAATGGGGTTGCAGAAAGAAGGAATAGAACCCTATTGGAAATGGTTAGGTCTATGATGGCACAGACAAATCTACCCGTCTCATATTGGGGAAATATATTTTTGACTGCTGCCTATATATTTAATCGTGTGCCCTCTAAGTCAGTTACTTCCACCCCCTATGAATTGTGGACTAGTAGGAAATCAGACATAAGTAATCTACGACATTGGGGGTGTGCAGCATATGTTCATGATTCTTCCTATAAATATGGCAAATTAGGCCCTAGAGGGAAGAAGTGTATCTTTATTAGATACTCTGAACACTCCAAGGGATACGTGTTCATAGGTGAACAAGTTGATGGAAGTGTGACTGAAATAGAGTCACAAAATGTCATGTTCTTGGAGAACGATTTTTCTAGTAGAGGTGAGATCGATAAGGACTTCCAATTATATGAGATGGAAGATCCCG